GAGAGAAATAAAAAGTTGTATCCTACTAAGAAGAGGTATGCACTCATCTTTCTTGAAAAATAAAAAATTTTCTTTTATTCCTTTCCTTTAAATGATTGTAATTTTATTTTTGGATTAAAATATGTTAAAATTATTGATACCATATGGATTTTTCAAATTTTTATCTTAAACACATGATATGTGATTTTTATTATATTTATATAATACTTAATTAAGAATATTATTTTATCTTTATTTACTTTATTTTTTTAATATATTACTATTTATTATATTTTAATGATTTATTACTAATAAATAGATGCTTGATTATAATTTTATAATATCGTGAATCGAAATTGAGGGAATTGATTAGGATTTAAGATGAAATCAATAGGTCACAACCCATAAGCTAGGCCTAATCGTAAGTCAAGCTACAACCCATGTCCCAGGCTCAACCAGCAGGTCAAGCCTTAACCCGTAGACTAGTTCAACCCAGCTCAACATGGGCAATCATATGTAGTGCACATGACCAATCCATGGGTTATAGGCTAACTCAGCCTGGTGTGGTGCATATATAGTCATGTGTGATACACATAAGTTGGCCCGACTTAGCTTAGTGTTATGTAGTCTAGTCTATTGCTCTTATTTTATTTGATTTAGGCTTAAATATTGATTCAACCATACTAGATTTGATTAATTGATTCAGGGTGATTCCGAATTCGTTTGACTTATTTTTAATCTAAATTAAAGATCAAAATTATACTAGTATATGGTGATTTCAAACCAATTAAATAAGGATTAGAAATTGATTCAACTAGGTTTTAGTTAAATTAAGTTTAATTATACTGATTAAATTATGGTTTAAATCAATTAAGGACTAATTAATATCATATGACAATAATGATGTTTGAAATAAATTTGTTAATATACTATTTCATCTTGATGTATCATGACTAGTATGAGATGATATTATTTTCCTATCAAAAGTATCAATAACAATTCTTTTCGAGAATTAACAGTCCATTACACGTGGTAGTTAGATGATTCTTTTATCCATTGTTTAGAGGAATATGTTTACACTTTAGTAGGTGAGGGGAATTATTTCATCCATTATTGAGAGTGCGATATAAGTTTATCTCTATCTATTATTGAAAGAACACAAACTCATCCCATAAGATAAAGCCTTTTTATTATTGAGAGAATACTCTTTTGAGTATTTAATATATGTTAGTAAGATGATTGATTTTTAGTCATGTATTCATTTTATAATTGACTTATAGGGTTCATACTTAATGTTGTTGAAATTTTTTTGTTTTTAATTTTCATAGTAGCCTCCAATAGTACTATACTACATTCCAACGAAGAGCAAATATTCCTTTATCGCTAGACAGAATCAATTAAATTTATTTTTGAATTAACATCACTATATAATAAATATTTATAAGTTATGTAAGAAAATGATGTTTATTTATTTGGCTTTGGATGTATTTGTGGAAAGATTATTATGATCCTATAAAAAAAATTCATGATACTATATTTTTTATAGTATCATATTTGACCTAGTATTTGGGCATAATAAGGAGACTCGAGTATAAAAAGGTTACTAGTGGAGTCAGAGGACTCGTCATGATTTTGAACAACCATTGGGCTATATCTCATATGCACTATACTAACGTTTGATTTGAGCTATACTAAGTCTTTGACGAGGGCATCATACTTTTGACTGACCAAATTATAATACTCTAATTAATCCTATATCGAAAGTGAATAAAATTAAGATTAACTTATAAATATTTGATAAATATATTACTATCAATTTTATTTTATCTATTTTCATCAGTAATCTAGTTTAAATGAACTTGATAAAGTCATGAGGCCCGAGTTGTAACATGCATGCTCCTCTTTTTTATTGGCATCACATATTATCCTCTCGTATCCCACCCTCTATTTTTTAAACAAATCCCCTGAATTTATACATGGGATAAAAAAAAACATAAAAGATCGCCTTTATTCACAATTATAATCAAATTTCATCTTCATCCCTTATCATTTGTAAAAAAGAAAAAAGCATCATTATCAGATGATGACCAAAAATGTCATCGGGTCACACCATAATCTTGATTAGAAACATGCAGGGAATAAATGTCTGATAAGATACATCACAATATTGTTTCACAATTTTTCCTTCCGAAGAGTGAAGGACCTAAATGACGAGTTATTGTACGCTTTACTAGTTAAGAGTGAACAGTTATTAAGTCCCTTTAATCCAGATGACAATAATAATTGTGTATAAGATTATGTTTAACAAGATAATAGATCAATTATTTCATTATATTATATTATGATAAATGATATTAGAATCGAATTAGCATGATTATGAGTTATGAGATGAGTTTTAAGTCTCGATAAGCACATTGAACCTTAACCTGGAAAGATTTAACTACCCCTACACATGGAAGGATAACCATGGTTTATAATTCCATGGGTTTGCACTATGGATATAATACTTTTATATGATATGATCATTCGATTTTTCAATGGCATGCACATGTTTTTTTGTTCTAAGCAACATCTATAATTTATTTTGTTGTAGATAGGGTTTTAGTTGACTCGAAGTTCACTTAGACTTATATATATATATATATATATATATATATATATATA